GTTCTGTTTCATACACATTTATTGTATTCACAAAATATACAGTTTATTTATTTATTTATACCATATTCTCGTTGACTATAAAGATCTTTCAAGACCCTAAATCATACCCTCACAAATCATTATGCATTTTCCTGGATGACAAGATGTGTTGTAAAGCGCTTTCGGCGGATTCTTCCAAGCAAATTCCTTGATCTGCCGTGACTCTCATCCCATTCACGTGCCTCCAGGTCTTATTCCTTCGGGTTTACACCGGATATGGGGTGTGTGGCTGGAACTGTGGGTGGTGCAGCGTAAGCCACCCATGGTCCTTCGGTAGGCGCAGGCGTCCTGTGGCTGCTCCCGTTGAGGCCACAGGGACAGGCAACTCCGGATACGGATGCCGCCAATCCATGACTTTCAAATGCGATCTGCTAAACTTCTTTTCAAATTAACACCTGGCTAATTGATTGTGCCAGATGAAACAATGAAACAATGGAACAACTGAGTTATTCCGCAGTAAAAAAGGAAAATTTTAACTAGTTCAGTAGGTGAAAAAGTAAAAGACAACACATACATCAGAAAGTCATGTGTTTGCTTGATGCACCCTGAGATTCACGTGTGTACACCAGATCATATTTGAAGTAGGATATTTTAGTCTGGGGAAGTAGGAAGAGCGGTCCACTATTGGCACGCAAAAGGGAGAAAACATTCCCGTGACATTCCACCCGACTTTACTATGTGGCTAACTGCAATTGGTGCTTTGTCAACGTGATGTCGCGGTTGAATTTCAATAAATGATAGCATTCGTGATTAAGGTCCTTGAGGATCTGATACACCATTATACAACCCCCTTTCTCCACAGATGTCAATATTGTTTGATGAAAAGTTCTAGGGCGTCCAGTCTAAGCTGGGAAGGTGGAGAAAGCAAGCCATTTACATTGTTAGTCGAACTTCGTTGTGAAATTTCAAACATAGTGTATTTTTACCAGGGGTATCAGATTTAAATTGTATGTTCTACATGGGGTCTCAGATAAGCATTGAGCATTTGCGTAAAGTTCTTAAGTTTGAGCCACTTAATATTCCTCTGCAACAGACCTAAGTGCTGACTAAGTTTTCTTGCTGCTTTTCCGTCCTGTATTGGCCGGCCGAGATCATCCTGCGCGAGCACTGCGTCACCTTTATGCGAAGCATGCTGCAAATGTAGATCTCCGAGCTGATACATGTAGGCGGTCTGGTGGTGGTAGTGCATGCTCATTGTTCTACATAGGGCAGCGTTAAACTGAGCATATTCTGAGTTGGCCAGGCGAACACCCAGTCGAGATCAACTTGTTGAGCTGCATGGTCATCTGCTGAAACATTTTCCGTGGTACATTCAGTATTCCGTTAAAAGACATCCCACTGATTGAAGGGCGGTACACTAAAGCAAATTACGCAGCTGGGGAATAACCTATGAAACAAACAAACAAAGGTGTTTATGCAAGATACCCAGGGTGGTCACCAAGCTGTTGTTTTCGCATTAATATATGCTTCATTCAGGAAACCCGTGCTTTCGCCGGATAGATCCTGAAATATCATTTAATCGTATAACTTTCTTTTTTGCGCTAATATCCACGGTCTTTGTGTGTGAGCCGCAGGCTTTCGGTTGCTTCCCGCAATATTGTCCGACTGCTTGAGGTAGGTAATTTGACGAGTGCCTCTGGATTAAACATATTCGGTCGTGCGTCGGTAAACCATGCAAGTTTTTTGGATAGTTTTGCCGGCCAACAATCTTCCACCCGCGCTGTTCTGAGCGACGGTGCACAAAAGACGCTGTCTTGATTGGACATGTAACGTTTACAGCAAATCAGTATGTTGCGCAAACAGTCCGATCCCCGATCGAACAACTTACTTAGGCCTTTGGACATTCATTACATCCTATCAGAATTTGGTAGTAGCTCGCATTCACTAGATCCTGCTGGTTGGGTGGCGTCCGTCCTGGATGACGGATTCCCACCAGCACTCTGTATCAATACTTACTGTACACCAGTCGCCAGTTTCGTCCCTTCTACCATGTCAATATTCGTTCACTCCCTTATCTGGTCGGCTGACCTATGATCCCATTTTAGTGTTCACTCAACTCTGTAATTCCACCCGGCGAACAACTGCCTGACTCAAGATAACAACGATCGAAGAGCGAATCAATAGAGGTGACATCTAGCTCCTCTGCTTTGCAGGGTTGCATTGATAAATTAGCTAACAAAGCTTCGTATTGAAAATCGGCTAGTTCGCTGAACACTAACCAATGATTAGGCTGATGGCTAAGTTACTTGTTTCGATAATGACTGTCATTAATTTTGTTTGGCGACAGATTGATGACCCAATCCTCGTAGTTATATTTACCCACGTAAAATGTCATTTTACCCCCTTGGGCGTAATTACCGCCAGGTTGAGAACCACTGCCCTAAGGGAAAGTGATAATTCTTATCAACTGCGATTGCAGCTCCATTGGTGACATGCTAGTAGATCGTTAAACAAGGATTTGGGAGCTTGAGTATGACGGAAACTTAGAATTTGTAAGCACAACTACCGTACGTAGGGACTGAGACGTTGCTGTCCCGCGTATTGCGTTTGCCAGCTAAGTGCATTAGTATGAAGTGGTTTGTCTTTTCGGACCCTCTGGAGAAAAGATAACTCTGTCAATCCCACTGCGACGATTTGCTTTACTTGTGGATGTATTGAGCAGAGGAAATCATGTAGCTGATGGGTTAGTACAGTGTTCTTCGTGCATGCTAGTCAGACACATTTGTCTGATTCACGTTTACGTTCTAGTTCTAAGCGGTTCATGCGATTACACGTGGTTGTAACGTATTGCCACTACTGAGTAAGCTCCTACACTACCGGACGTCACAATACAAAGTGAGTTAGAGTGATCCATATCCAGATTGCGATAACAATCGATGTAGGTCACCTAAGATTGTTAGAACAGAGCTGTTTTCCTCTAGTCCCAGCAAATCACTCCCAAATATACAGTGCCCAGCCATACATGAGTTGAAACTCTCCCTGAGATGAGAGCAGTATGGATATCCAAACACCGGCGCAAAACACATAGTCCGCAACTACTGACATTAGTTATCAGTCTATGTCATCTTGATCCTACTGAGAAGGTAAGAAGAACCGGTGCAGTGGTGGTAGGTACGCTGCATGCACTTCCATTCGATTTACTAACCACCTGCTTGAGTGCTGAGTTTCTTTATTTCAGGTGCTTGGTTTGCTGTATTGTCTTAATGCTTATGTTGTTACCTCATTTTAATGACTACCTGAATATTCTTCTATTATCTTGCACATGTCGCTTAAATGAAAGGTGGTTAATTACGTTTACTTTCTCTCGTTTGTTGCATATGCTTTGTTGAGCACTTGTTCTGGCATCTTGAATTTATCACGGATATGTTGATAACTCATTTATTTCATATGCTAATTTAGCGAAGAGTTATGTCGGCATATCCGTATGGTGTTTTCGATCTGTTTTATTTCATATTGTCATTTCAAGTGATTGGCTGTTGCTTGACATCCCCGGTGTGGCTGCGCTTAGTGTGCATGTTGACAAGGTGTCTACCTGTCTATTACCCACTACCTCGTCCATACTGACTCCAGGAGACAGTTGGTCGTTTCTGAAGGGGACGGGGTGCACGGTCCATGTGGTCATGGTAGGCTCGAAGTGTGGTTCCATGCACTCAGTGTGGAGCGGACTGCGGTGCAGCCGTCGCATTGTGTGCACTTGTTTTCCCAACTACAGCGTGCTTGTGTTTGCCTGTGAAGGAATGTGGGCCGGCTCCGTTGACGAAACGTGGCTCCCATCCACATGCCTCCCGGTCTTATTCTTTCGGATTTACACTGGATGTGGGGTATGTGGATGGAGCTGTGCGCGGTGTAGCGTAAGCCATCCATGGTCCCTCTGTAAGGGGTCTGCGTCCTGTGGCTGTCCTGTGGAGGTCACAGTGACAGGTAAATGTGAAACCGAATGCCGCCAACCATGGCACCTTGGTGTGAGCTAAAATGTGTTCGCTACCACGTGCACCGAATTTGTGACCGCACGTTCCATTGTAATGATGATTACTAGGCCCCAACTACGCGTAACTCTAAAGTGGAGAGTTGGACCGCGATGCAAAGCTGCGGACCTGACTGCACTCCACGCCGCAGATGTAAAGTAGGAGGACCGGGAACATGGGTGGTAATGAAACCGCGTCGTTTCTTAGCAAATGCACTGGCAACCATGGGGCAAGTAAACAAAACTTTCACCAGGAGAGAACTCAACCGAACAAAGGCGCGATAAGTGTGGTAACTAAGTACAACCTCGGGCGCCCTCTCATGGAAGCCGCGAGCTAGCACGTCACCCAGCTTGGTGTGTAAAGCCCATTTTGACTTCATTGTACTTGAAAAGCGAGGTTGCCAATGCGCATGCATATGCGCACTCACAAAGTGAAGCGAACCACTATATCGCGCAAGCTCCGACCTCTCAATGTTGCGCTCAGTGAACATACGACACCACAAAATGAACTCCATTTCACATGCTCTCACCATGTCTTGACACCACTAGCCCAAATTCCATGCCAGTCGATCCTCCGCAATGGTGCGTCAGCTACACTCATGTCATTCAACCGACCGAGTGAGCCACTCGATCTCAGACGTGTGGGAGTCTAGCGACAGATGAACAGTTACTTAACTCGAAGTCTTTCGGGCGCAATTAAGTCGAGCTTCGCAGCAGCTACGCTAAAGTGCGTGTTTTTGACGAAACCAGTCGTCCGTTCACGTAACTAGGATAGTTTGCCCATACTGACTGCCTTAATGATTATTTGTCAGTCCGAGTGCGCCTGTGGCGCAACGTATATCGGTCGAACGGAGCAACACTTGTCCAAACGCGTGGATGAACATTGCCCACGTTGGTTGCTTCAAGGTGGCACCGGAGCCATTAGCAGTCCCGTTGTGGCTCATACTATCGACAGTGGACATCAGGTGGATCTAAAGCGCACCTTTAGAGTAATATACAAGGTTCCACCTAACCAATCGAAAGGTCAACGCCTTCGTACCCTTGCGACAGCCGAAGCAATTTGCATTCGATTATTTCAACCGTCCTTATGCCCGTAAAAGAAGCTAGTCCAGGTTATACAGCTTACCTGGCCGCGAAAATGGTGGATACTGAAGTCAACGGCATGAGACAAACTCCGGAGCATGTACTTAACTCGTTTCGATTTTTCATCTATGTTGCTTGTACTAACTGGTCGATTTTACCGTTTCCTTTTTTATCCCTATATATGATTTTACTGGTCGGATGATGAATCATTGAAAGCAATTGCTCAGCAAACGGTGTCCTTCTTCTCATTATGCTACGCAACAGTTTGCACAGTGATTACGCGCATGATGGCGTATTGCACAGGGAATGAAAATGCTCAGCCCATCGATCCAAGCGTCTCGATCGGTTAACGATCGGGGAACCACCGGCTTTGTAAAAAGTCTCATCGACACCAGAGGGTTCTGTGACTGAATGCACTTCAAGGGTTTGGGAGCATTATCAGCGAGGGCAGCAGCTCCCATTTCCAACGCGCGCTGAGGCCACTAGCATTGAACAATCCCAACTTCATTATGATCGGATTCCTCTGAAATGTTTATGTGACGGTCAAACAGCTTAAGAGAGCGAGTAGAAATACATGCATTCAAAGGTCACCGAGTAAGACCACATATTAACTAGGAGAAAGAGAGCATCGCTTTCGGCATGAAAGTCCAATGTCGAACAATATCTTGCGGTGGATCGCAGCTAAGTGTGGTAGGGAAGCTTGCAGCCCAGTTGAATCGAAGGAGCATCTAGCCTGCTGGGATCAGCTTTACAGCGCATCGCTTTCGAGGGTCCCTTGAAATTTGCGCAGATGTTAGCACAGACAAGCGCGTGAGCTGAGTTAAGGGAGTTGGACCAGATTGATCTGCAATCCCGTACACTATCCTGCCATTTGACCAACTGAAGACTATGCTTGTGTTGGTGAAGAGAAGTATCAAGCTGCGGAACGCCTCTTAGTATGTCTGAACCGGTGCTTAAGGTAGACAGACAATTGTCTTCACACAGTGACCGGCTCTCATTGAGCGCATGGTGACTATCGAGGCGACCTTCACCTGATAATAGGCGACTGACCCATGTGTTGAGATTCCCAATAAGGACAATGATATTGAATCCGCAAATCTTGTTAAGGACCTGATGAACTTCACGATAAGTCGTCCTTGGCTGAATTAATGCTGCATTAGTTGGAGTTCACGAACAAATTGCGTCTCTCCAAGTGACGTTTCCCGAGCCTGAATGAGCTCCAAAGCCGAAATGTACGCAGTCGACTGTTACTCGAGAACAAGTTCAGCAGTGCGACCTCGACGCTGTTAATTAGGGCTACCAAACCTTGGCCAAACCTATTGCGTCGGCTTGTATGTCACTAGAGAGAATACGCGCTTTAGTTATCCCGGACATTTTCTGTCAGGAGTTCAAGTTCATAAATGCTCAGTGAACTAAGAATGTCTACACCACTTGATCTTGGGCCGCAGTTGATTGTTTGGCAAGTTGCAACGCGACCTGAAGTTTTACCTGTTTCCTCTTATACAGCAACCATAAGCTCTCGCAGTCGCTTTTGTTTATCTCCGCTCCCAGATGCTTCCTCCTACATTTTAGCTGCCTCCAAGGAATAATTAGCTGCTGCTCCTGCCATCATGTACTTCGTCGCATAAGCTATGGCACTGTGGAATATCGTTGTGATTTGATCTCAATGGATTAATATCCCCCATGCATACAAGGTAAATGAAGTGCGCGTTTTTATTTTGCTCACAAAGAATCGCTGTCTGCGCCACAAACGGTCTCGTACGCTAAAAGTCCTGTTCCACTTCCTCACCATCATAATGCAGCAGTGCATTTAAAGCACTCGTTGCTCTGCCACAAGTATGCCATCTTGTCACTGTGCATACATTCGTGACACGTATTTCGCTTGGTTCGTAATTTGCACCCGGACAATCTTATCGGATTTGTCAAACCCTTGCCACTTTACCCGTGATGTAGCATCATTCACTCTGAATGAAAAAACCCATCCGTGCATTACACGTCTACAGATTGCCCATATGGATGGGTGGCAACATCAAATTCTTGCCCACTTTTGTACCTGGTGTTTTATCTCACCCCATCAATAGCCTCTGCTACCAAGTTAGGAAGATCCCGAGTGAAGAGAGGTGACAACTCTAAGTGTAATTGGGGACCAAATGAAGTGGTCGGGTCGTTCAATCCTTAAATCCCAATGTGCACGCAACTTCTCTAGCCTATTGAAGGCAAGGTGGAGGGTGCCGATTTCAACTTGGACACGTAGATGTGTGCTAGTGTGATCAGTATGTAAAGCTTTTTACCCTGCAACTCTAAATGGGCCCCGATGTCATGGTGTAATTCAATGCCACAAGGCTTTAACTTTAATCGGAATGCGTCCCCGAGGAGTAAGTGAACATACACCGCTTGTTTCGTATTTCTCACTTACAACAGAAAACAAACGGTCAAGAATGCCGTCATGGTGGCGAACATTGTAGGACTGGAAATTACGCTGCAGTCTGCAAACTGAGCAACATATGTGAAGCAATCTCTTGCGGCAACACGGCATGCTAAACACCATAACGTATTTCGCCATAATGAAATGGCGAGTACAATCCAACCTGCTATGGCGGCCACTTGTTTAAGGCGATCCCCTGTCTATGCCGATCAGCCAAAAACATCCTCAACGTCTTCGTTCATGAGTAATGTCCCTATGCATGAACTTGACCATAGTAACTAACTGTCAAAGGCGACCACTTTTTGTCGGTCCCTTGAGTGGTCGCCTTAGACAGGTTTGACTGTAGCATATTTTCAAGTTCTGTTATTTCAGCTCTTACGTTTGCGAATTTGAAAGTAACGTAGTCCGAGTTTATTAGGCTATGACATACCGCAGTCCAATGACGCACACATGTGAACCTAGCAGTAAACTTACTCTTTTTACTCCCGGGACTTGTTAAGAGTTTGCTTTTCAGCACTTTCTAAATTCATTGTTTCCTCGGCCACCGTAGCTATGACACTTAACGTCGCATAAAATGTGTCCCTATTTCATCATCGGATCAATTGGCACGATACTGTACCTGGAAGAGATCCAACTTTCGCGCTTTGATTCCCTGCCTTTCGATCCAGCTAGCTGAGGTACATACGGAGGAACGTTGATGTATTCGACGAAGATCGAGCGGTTCGTGAAGTAGATCCTCACCGGACAATTGCGCTCCGTTTGTTGTCATGGAGTCTGGCGGTAACTCTGTGACATTTTGTTCATTTTCTTTGGCATACTTTGTTATATCACTGGTGAATTCGCTCCGTATTTTTAATTGGCGCACGATATTCAACAACGTCTGAGATGGGTGGGATAACAGGGAATAAACAAAGATTAAAAAAAATTAAATAAAATAAGAAAGCTTCAAAGGTATTGGTTGTGCGGTTTTGGATCACCCGCCGTATGTCTTGCATTGCGTCACACAATCTCAACTGTGGCCTCGGTTGACCTAGAACTCTGCCTCTGCCACTGGGACCGCATCTGCAGTAGAGGAGTTCGGTGTTGTTCTCTCCCCTCATTGCAACGTACAGGGATTTATAACGGGCAAAAAAGCGCTTGCCTGACAAGTTTCATAGGAAGACCGGAATCAGGAGTATAAGTGTTTAAAAATGATAGGAACATAGGCAAGTTCAGGTTTACACCGAGTTATTCATCTAAACAGCGATGTGACAGAGCAACACCGTACCCCACCACTTTAAAGACATGTTTCCGATACGTACAGGGACCATCCATGCAGCTTAGAGCTACACAAGGCTAATTGAGCACAGGAAACGCGGATAACACAAGTTTACCATTACTGTTGAAGTACGCACAAGTTTAGCTTTCTTATATCTTGAACTAGCCGTGATGGTCGGCCTGTGTGTCCACATTTGTACCCTTGATTCCATAGGCAACTCTCGCTTCTCACCATTTATTACGGAATAGATTTCATTTACAGGTAATTCTATGTCCAGAAAGAGCCCTGCTTTATTCAGAAATACGTGTAAGAGGACATTCCTTCCACTGTCAGAAATGGATCACTGATCAACCACACTGGGCCGCGAGCCGTTAAACATCTGTTTGGAAAGCGAATCACACTTTACCATGCGCATCGACGTTTACGCTCACATCAGGAAGTATGTGAGAAGTGCAAACGAACATTGAGCTACTACCTGGAAATCTTAAGAAAATCGATGACAGAGTCAGTGTGATCGAACGGAACTCGGCAATTACAACTGTAAGCAAACAATGCATCGCATTGGAAGTTGTCAAAATTGGCCCACTGGAAAAATGACATTGTCAGCGAAGGGTAGGTCATGAATATACATCAGGGATTAGAATCCCGTCTCAGCCTATCTTTATACGAACATTTAACCATGGACGGAAGCTATCGTGGACTGCAGGCTATGAAGGAGCAGTTCCTAATGGTTATCTGACCAAACATCGATCGAGATATACAACTGGTTCCACCAGGACAAACAGCCTTGGCAAACTTCATCCGAGCAAGAATAGGAGGCAATAATGAAGCTTTGATGACAGACAAATCCCCCGTCATCCTCCTGTTGACAATGGGCAAGTGATCATCATGTTGTAGAAAACAAGACACATGGCGAGGTTTACACCGTCTTACAATCAGAAGCCACGCAGCGCCCAATCAGAATGGTTCTTCATGTGTCCGATAAGCAGAGCATAAGCCTTTGCCTCTATTATATGGAATCAAGTATACTGTTTATCAGTATTCGAGCAAGCTGTCCTCTGTGGTCGGTAGAAAGTATCGTATGAGAGTAGCTTTAGTTGCATTGTAATGCATACTAATGCCGTGGCTAAACCTTCTTGCCGACAACTAACGTTAGAATATTTGTGACCCCTACTTCTCCTACAGCAGAACGAATAAGTAACTCGAGCACCTGCCACTTATTGGTGTAAATTTCGGTCCGTTGAATAATTTTTGCGTACTTCGATAATGGTCAGTGTATTGGACCACTTCGTCCCCTTTACAGCCCCAATGACAGCTTTGAAGAAATAAAAGTGCTACAGTCGCGGTTCACCTAGGTATCGCTTCATGTGAAGCGACATGTCCGAATCGCAATAGACTGCGATGCATCTATGTTTCCAGCACTAGTAGCCGATCAGGGCTCTTAAAACCAGGTCCCATCATTACCATCATCAACAATAACAGTAGTGAATTCATAATTTGAACAGATACGCGATTACCACATAACCATGTAGAGTTAGGAATCGATAAATACTGAGAAGGGAGGTGTTGGGGAATATATACCCTGGACAAAGATTCATAGTCAAGCCTCCTGCACCTTGGTAGCAATGCATGGTCACAAACGGTCAGGGCTTGAGGATCCACTTATTACAGTATCTTCCTGTGTGCAGTGGTCGATGAACTTGAAGCTGCGCTTTTATTCCTCCCACCCAGCCGACGAAACTCCCGTCTCATCTAATGATCTCAGTCTGTTACACTCAAGTGACCGTCGACCGCCGAATGCCATGCTGACAGCCAGCAGTGTAACCATTCTCTATTCAGACAGTGATGATGTTATTTCCTTCCTCTTGCTTGGGGACCGTTTCCAGCCTGTCTGCCAAGTATACTACTTTCGCAACATCAGCGCAATACATTAACTGGAATTATTCAGGTGAGAAAAGCACCTTACCTATTAGTAAAGGTGTTTGAAGAGCAAAAATGAGTCAAGGAACAATTTATGATGGTGATCGTTAAGAGACATGCCCTTTAGCGGCCAGATGAGAGTAATCTGTGTATTCTAGGAGTGCGACCGCAAGTTGGTAGCATAATTCGCCAGCAGAACGAGTGAAAGATGTTTGAATTACCACAAATACGGCATATGGAGCAATGGTTCAGAACTTGTATTAAAGCAATTGCTTGACAAGTCCCATAGGCTGGTTATGGTGAGAATTACAAGCCAAAATACAGGGCCGATAAAAGAAAGCGCCAGATACATGATTCAACTAGTGATTTGTATCAACATATTTGTGAGTATTACTGCTTAGAGTTTGGGGAGATTATGACACCGTCCACTGTTTGTTCTGCAGCAATAGCATAATCTGATGGCCATGGGCTATGTTCAGTACCCTAAATGTGTCAGGATATCATCAAGGCAATTTTGAGTAGGGATAAGTGGGGACATTACTTACATGCACCTGGAAGGAGTTCCAGAAGTGTGTGTCGACATCCTAGTCGACTGTATTGCGTGTCCAACTTAAACTGATGACTCCCCAGAGAGGTGTTTTGGCTGAGTTCAAAAATTGGCATGTGGTTGGGGTTTATTGGGAGCTGACACACCATCATGATATTTCTCTGCAGACGCGGATAATGTCCGCTGCACATTTTTAGAGTTTTCAACCTGAGAGGTTAGGGGAGGCAAGACAAACGGCTGACGTACTTCGTCGCCATACGTTGTGAAGGCTCGAGTATGGTATGGTGCTTTTTCCAGGATTACCACGCTTAGATAGCGTATTCCGCATGCAACCTCACGTACGCGTCAAGCATTTGCGGAAATAATAAAGCGTCGAACTTCCCGAAAGCTCTAGGAAGGAGTCCGAAGTGCCGGTTTGCTTACTTTGATGCCTTTCCAGTCGGCCTCAAACAACTAAGATCAACTTGTACGAGTATTCCGAGGTCTCACTCATGAGAATGCTGCTGTAGAATTTGTGGTCCTAGCCGGTAGTTGTAGATACTCTGATGGCGCATACTCAGAATTTCGCACTTGGTGGCGTTGAATTGCGGCATGTTCTCGTTGGACAAGGTGTACATTTTCTCCAGGCCATATTGTAGGACCGTGTGATCCACTGGTGATAGCACGCAAAATGTAGGAAGTATGGCGACAACAACCTCGCTAGATCATTTATAAAGATCAGGAACAGGTATAATTGATGTATTGGGTGAGACCACAGATCTGTGTATGAGAAACGGCAGTGAGTTGCTGTTTAAAATTCTCTTCCTCACAGAACTGCGTGTCTACGTTAGTGGCGTAGCAAGTACTACTGCCGCCCGGGGTGGCCATAAAATTTTCGCCCTTCTGTCAGTTGTAAATTCGTAAACCATCACAATTGCGAACAGCCCTTCAGTATTTCGTTTCAAACAGCAACAATCAAAGATCTAATTTTAGAGTGCGGTTGTAAATCCAAGTATTTGCATTGCTACAATATCCGTGTACACAATTTACAAGCACACTTTCCGTGCTTTACTTGCGATAAAAGTATCGAGAAGCATATCAAAATTCATTCCATTGGGAAGTTTCCTGTCTGTGGAAATACTTCAAGTCTCTGAGCCTTGTCTGGTTCATTGTTACTCGAAGCTAGTTAGTTATAAGCTTGAGCTTTGAGGAAAAGCGTTCACCGCTTGCAATGCTTATAGTTCGGGTAAAGAAAATTCGCAGAAAGCATGCAATATTCGGTGCAGATTCCCCAAAATGACATTTCTAATGTGAAGCACAAAAGTTCGAAGGGTCCATTGATTTTTTCGTTTCTTGAAGTTACCGCAAAATATTGCATCTTCTTTTTTGGACAAAGTATTCCTATTTTCTATCTCTTCTTAAACTTCGCTGAAGCGGACAATCATATCATCAAGCAGATTTGACAGTGCAAGGGAAACATTGTTGTTTGTAAAAATATGAATTCACTGATATCTACGACATTTCACTAGCCAATCTGTGTATGACAGACCATGGAACAATGGTGTAATGCGGATACAAAGTCAAAGGTTGACAAGTCCCTTGGGATGGTTTGCGTCACCATCATTATCATCAATACACGCTAGCCGAGCATGAGAAACACACTTCAGATAATGTGCCGCAATACAATGAGGTAAGACATTAAGCAATGTAGACATAAAAGCTATACAAAGTAACATAATGTTACTATCACCTTTTGTTGGTTGTTGGAGGGGAAGCTAAAGAGAGGGGAAGGAGCAAAGAGACTCACATCACAAACGCCAATGAGGTCGACTCTTTGCCATGTCAGTTAGTGTATCCAACCAACAAACGTATTCATCCTCCTTCGGTCCCCAGCCACGCATTCGGCTTGTGTGAATCACGTAGGTTCAAAAAAGGTTACACTAAAGTGAAACGCGCATCTTCGGACTCCCGATATTATTCACGTTAACACAAAAGCATATCCGTCTACCCCGGTTTCGTGAGAGTTATTGAGCACAGTGCGTCCTGTCGTCACTCCATGAACAGAACTCAACTCAAGTAATGCAGCTAGTGCAATGCATCGTTGAGCCATTTTAAATCAGCACCAACTCCCATAGACGTATCACACAACTCTTCACTATCTATTAGTTTCTTTTGG